AATTAAGAGGGCAAAAAAAAATTAACTATTACGAATGAAAAGCACTTTTAAGGGTAAACAATATTGGTGACCTTTATGATTCTGATCTATTTGATTTTAGTCCAATTTTGAAAAAAAAGTTTAGTTTTAGTTACTTTTAATTTATGTCTTATTTAAATATTTTTTAAAATAATTTGAGTAGTTACAAGACAATATATGTTTGTAATTTTTTTAACCACTAACAATATTGTAAATATAACTTTACGAACTCAATATCTTAAAAAAAAGATTCCTTTTAACTGTTGATATTACTTGATGATTATGTAAGATTATAATCGATAAATATAAAATTGTTTCGTTACTTTATTTTTCATGCATAGAAAAAGGAGTTTTAAAAAGTTGGGAGTATAATTTTACTTTAATTTCCATAAATAATAACAAACAATGTTTAGTATGAATGGTTAAATTATCTCTTCATGATATTGGAGTAATTTGGTTCGACAAATCCATCAATTTGAAGTGATAACATAATGTTAGTCGGTGTCTACAAATTTTCAACTTTTTTCCATTAATTTCTTGTAAATTTCTTGTAAAGCAACAAATATTTCACAAATGTACTTGAAATATAGCGATCTTGAGAGTGACATCCACTAAAAAAGAAGGCAAATAAAATTAGAAAAAGGAGGCTATAAATAATTAGCACTGAGCAGTTGGAGCTTCCTTTAAGTTTTTTTGCCGACACTAAGACTAATTTAAGACGGTAAAAGCAAGCTTATTACAGGGGAAAAACATGTTTGCAGGAGACCAGAATGGTTTACAAGATGACCCAAGGCTGAAGGCCATTTCTGAAGCCATTAGAGTTGTGCCTCACTTCCCAAAGCCAGGTTCTTCTTCTTCTTCTTCTTCTTCTTCGCACTCGGCTCTTTTTCTTTGCTCGTGTTCTGGAAGTAATAAGATAAACTAAAAGGCGTGAAGCATGCATTGTTGTTTGGTAGTAAAATGTTGAGTTTTTTTGTTGGTTTGATGTTTTATGCCCAGGAATTATGTTCCACGACATAACCACACTGCTACTTGATCACGTAGCCTTCAAAGATGCCGTCGACATCTTTGTTGATCGTTATAGAGATATGGGTATTTCTGTTGTCGCAGGTTTCCTCTCACTCTTTTCTTTTTTCTTTTCCCTTCTCATTAGATCTGACCATTCATGGTTAACGTGAAATTACTCATTTTCCAGCCATTAATAGCTGTTCGTGCTTACATGGTAAATTGGGATTGTAGGAGTTGAAGCTAGAGGATTTATGTTCGGTCCATCGATTGCATTGGCTATTGGTGCCAAGTTTGTTCCCTTACGTAAACCCAGGAAGTTGCCAGGAGAGGTGATCTCCGAAGCATACGTACTGGAATACGGCAAAGATTGTTTAGAGATGCATGTGGGAGCTGTTCATCCTGGGGAACGCGTCCTAGTTATTGACGATTTGGTGGCTACAGGTGGAACTCTTTCTGCTGCAATACGTCTATTAGGTAATCATTATCTGCACTTCATCCATCAATGTACACTTCCTTTTCCTAGTTTCTGATACTTCCATGGCTGAATTTACTAGAAAGAGTTGGGGCACAAGTGGTTGAATGCGCATGTGTTGTTGGACTACGTGAGGTAAAAGAGAATAGAATAAAATCCAGCATATCAGTATTCAACACAAGTTTTTCCCTTAAATTTAGTATCTTTATGTTTTACAGGGACAACATGGACTAAATGAAAAGCCATTGTATATTCTTGTGGAGCCACGGCAGCAGATTAATTGCTCTGCGCATTCTGGTATCAGTTGAATGTTACCATGCAATAAGTTCCTTTTACTTTGCTAGTTTGCTTAATTACTTTGTTTGTTTTCTTTTACAGGTAGTGGCGTTGGCGTTGAAACATGCAGACAAGACGATCTGGTTGTCGGAGGAAACTTTGGTTCCCCAGTGAATACCACTTCAAAAACCGATTAGTGTTTTCCTTTCAAACCTTTGGTTGCCCTGCGTAATCCTTTTTACCGTGAAACCAGTTCATCTGTGAGGCTGTTTTAGTTTTACTTTTTCATGCAAGTTAAATTTTAATAAATTCTTATTGCATTTCAGTACCTGTTTGTCGTTTGTTCAATTTTGTCGTATACATTTTCCACTCATGCTTTTTCATGTCCCTTATCCTCTCTCTTTTTCAATTATATAAATACAAAATAATTCAGATTAAGTAATTTTAAGCATTTTATTTATAATATATTAAGAAATTTAACTGAATTTAATGGAGAGTAATTAAAATAGAAAAAATATTTAATGTTAGACATCAACTTTTAAAAAAATAATTAAATAATCAAAACATAAACAAAATAATATGTGAGTTGCTAAATAAGTAATTTAGCTTTGTTGATATTAGTTTTCACTTTATTCTTATTATTACGTCTTATTATACTTTTTAGTGCTTGAACTAAATCTTAAAATACGATATGATGTAAAAATTTATCTTTTTGTTAACTATAGATGTCTAAATATTATCGTTATATTTTTAGGTGTATAACATATATTTTTTATTTTTTAATAATAATAATTGTTTTTTAAAAGAAAAAATTAAAAATCAAACTCTCACATTGTCCCTCTCCCTTCCATCCCCATCGTGACTTTTTTCACGACGATCGACGTAGTTCACAATAAATGAGGGATTGAATTTTGATTGTAGTGGTGAGATGATTCTGATAGCGTCAATGGAGATAGTCACAGATCGACGATGGGCGATCATGTTGAAAGATGTAAAATTTGAAGTTTTTTTAAGTTATAATATTAATTTTTAAAATAAAATAATTTTTAAATTTTTTTATGAGTGACACGTGTCAGATAACGGTTAAATTTAATAATCGCTACAGTTCAGACACCTAAAAATGTAACGTTGAAAACGTTCAAGTATCTATTGTAAGTAAAAAATTCTTTAAATATCAAATCTTAATTTGAGATATAGTTTATAGACTAAAAATTGTATTAAACCTCTTATTAATATAATCCAAAATTTGACCTACACAATGTAAAATAACAAACAACATAATGACCGCTTTATTCTCCACCGCCATTATATAAGAAGAAAAATAAGACAAAATACCCACAAATTAGAAAACCCTACGCCCAAAGGCAAAACCTTTCGGAAAGATTCCACCAATTTCTCATTTGTCAGACAGAAATGTCACTTGTGAACCCTATTTTTCTTTCTTTTCCTCTAAATTAGAGAGAAAGTGAATTAGATTGATACAGATAGAAAGAGAGATTTTATTTGGTTTACGGGAAGGATGTCTGCGGCAGTGTGCGGAAGCAAGAGATCGTTCTTCAAGGATGCCCGTCACCGCAGTCGGCTTCTCTGTTGAAGAACAAGAAGCTCCGGCGCTTTTCGCCTCAATCTCCTTCGTCTGTTCACTTCTCTCCGCCTCTGTCTACCCTCGAACAAGTCCAAGCCCTCTTCCCTCTCATCGACCCTCAGGTATTGCCAGTTGCCACCCTTTTTAATTTAATATATATAGGCGTTAATTAGATGCATAAATGTAAGGTTTATTTGGTTATTGTAGTATCATCAAATTAGATTTCAAAAGGCTTGTGATTAAAAGAAAACAGAATCTTACTACTGGTTATTTTTTAATGTTGGGTGGAGTTCTTTGTTGCTTCATTATTGTAAAATTCATTTAAAAGAAAAGAAAGAAATTTCAATAGATTTTTTGGTAAAATTCTATTAAGTGCAATGGTGTGGATTGAAACCAATAAAGCAATCAATAATTGGAAAACCTTTGAGATTGAGATTGTTTTCAAGTCCTTTCCGTTTGAAAGCACCCGATTAAGCTGGAGTATATAGTTATTTACTTCTATGATCATCTTTATTCAATTCTTGGTGGAGTTGATGGTTCTTCCTTGATGATTTCATTTCCCTTAACTGAGGAAATTATCCTTTTTTTTTAAATGAAAAACACCGAATAAGTTGCGTGAGGGTACAAAATTAGCTTCTCGTATTCTTTTATCTTGCTTAGATTTTGAAAGTGTTCGCTTTTACTTATCCATCGGTCCATTGAGAGATTAAGGTTCGGTGTCAAATTACTGATATCTGTCTCTTTTGTCAATGTCTAACGACCATTCCTTGCAGCTTTTGGAGAGGGTATTATTAGAATGTAGCAATGATATAGATACCACTATCAAGAGGTTACACGAGCTTTGCATAGGCCTTGAAGAAGCTGCAGGGGTGGAGTCCGGCCCTGTTGAGGAACTGGGTACAACTGCAGAGCCGGGTATGCCGGTGTTTCTTGCAATTGTATTTCTTACACTTTATGATTGATCTGCATTATTTCCATCATGATTTTCATGCCCTTTAACAGCACTCAATTTCCAGCATTTGTTTGGTAGTCTATAGAATATTATGTATATCCAATGGTAAAATTTATATGCACATTGAGAATGGAATAATTTGTGTTGGCTATCTTTAGGTCTTTAAACAGTGAGATTACGCAAAATAGGTTAAAAGTATCCTTTAACAGCTTCTTTTCCGTTTCTTCTTTTCTTTTTAATTCTTATCTGGATCAATAAAATTAATTTTTGAATAACATAGATAATATGGAATCTTGCTTTTAATTTTGATTCTCTCTGTTTGATGCTGCTTGGCTTTATGCTTCAATAATATGCTGTGGTTACAATCATCAATTTCAGTAGGCTATGTTCTGCATTAAGCTAGGATGTCTTCGCATCTTAAATAAGTGGATCTGACATCTGCTTCTGAACTTTCAGGTATATTGACCAATGGTAGAGAAGCTGCTGCTGTGGGTGTTCAGAATCCACCAGCCACTGAAAATCTACCTGTTGATGGTGCAGAATGGGTGGATTTGTTTGTGAGGGAGATGGTGAGCGCTACAAATGTGAATGATGCCAAAGTCCGTGCATCTAAATTGCTGGAGGTCCTGGAGAAGGCCATAAATAATCATGAAGCTGAAGAGGCATCAAAAACTTTTCTCAAGGTATTTTTTAATAGATTGCTGCATCTGTTGAATTAGCCAAAGGTTCAGCTGAACCTATGAAGCGCCTTATTTAGGTTTCTACTTGAACTTGATTGAATTTAACCGAGTCAACATTATACATCTTGAAAGGTGTTTATTCTATTCTTGAAGTTTGAGTCACCCTGCCTTTATACCAATACATGAATGGTAGAAATTTCTTGTGATAAGGGTCCCATGCCAGTACTATTATCCTTGCTTTGTTGAATGTTCTAAGTTTTAAGTGCAGCTGAAATTCAGTTATGCATTTGGAGCTGAAAAGAAATACATTTAAGTGTTTATGGTTTTGTTGATTCTTGAGAAATTACGTTGATCCTGACATTTTGCTTTTCAAATCGAAGTTTTGCCACTTCTTGTGCGGAGCAACCCACTTAAAATAAGAAATGACTGAATATGAAGGGCAATCTATTTTTTTTCTTGAACTTTGTTTGGTGCAGAAAAACCAGTGGATTTCAGTGTACTTTCTCAGCAGTGTTTATTTTTCTTAGGAGGGAAAAATGGGCTGGAAGGTTTAGGGTCAGAAGTTGCAATTTAGTAGTTATTGCTAAAAAAATGAGTATAGTTTGACATATCCATGAAAATCAAACATGGGTTTCATGTTGGATAAAAGATGCTTCTGTTACTTGCGTTGCATTGAAACTGTTAATAATCACCTTACTCGCTGGAATGTATTTCAAGTTCAGGAAAATGTTATGTTAAAGGAGCAGGTTGAAATTTTGACTCAAGAAAATAGAGTCCTCAAACGATCCGTAGCTATCCAGCATGAACGTCAAAAGGAATATCAAGATAAAAACTATGAGTTGCAACAGTTGAGGCAGTTGGTGTCTCAGTATCAGGAGCAGTTGCAAACTCTACAGGTTTGAATCAAGATGTTCCTCAACTCTATTATTGTCCATAACATTTCATGAGATCAATCATTTAAGTAATAAGATTTATAAGAAAAATAATACTTTACCGTTTGCTTGTATTGCAGATGAATAATTTCACCTTGACGATGCATTTCAGACAGACACAATAAGGCAGCTTCATGGGTTCTAAAGATTAAGACGGGGCATAGGGATGAAGTGTGTTTAGCCTGTAAATTATGACCATACAATTAGCTCAATCTGTTTGATTGGATTGATGTCTCATGCTGCTTATTATGTCTGATTCAAGTGACCATAGGTTTATCATTGTCTTCAATTGATTCGTGTATTACTGCCTTTTTCTTTAGAATTGTCTTTCAAATATCATGGATCCATATAAGTTTTGATATGTTACTAATTCATGTTGGAAAATTTGACACATTTGTGTCTTAGTATTATTTTTTTCGTATTGTTTCATGTTTTTAATGTTTTTCCGTACTGTGTTTAGGTTTCTTGTTTTGTTTTCCACGTAACTGTATCGAGTGGTAAAAAATTCTTTGTTTTTTCTAGTAAAAAGTTGTATTTAGGCTTCAGATTATCGAGGAAATATCAAAATTTATGTATTGGCAGATTATTATATGGTTGTTAAAATTCATGTATAAACGAATTGGGTATGATATTTTTATATTGTTTATTTCTTATATTTTTTTTTATTAATATTTATATAATTTAAAATAAAATTATATTTATGAATAAATAATATTTTAAGTTCAATTGAGTGAACCAAGATTAAAAAAAAAACTGTGTAGGCTTAAACCATTGTGAAGTCGAATCATTAAGCCGATCAAAGTAAGAAGACTTTTGAACATGTTTTTAGTGAAGTAGAAATGACTAATGAGAGAGTTTTCCGAGAGTTTATTAAAATAACAAAAATAAAGGGTAAAGTATATAAATAGTCCTCGAACTTTTAGGAGACTTGCATTTTGGTCCCCCAACTTTTGAAATTTACAATACAGTTATTGAATTTTAGTTCGTTTCATTTCTGTCTTTGCCGTTACCTTCCGTTAGTTAGGAATGACGTGACCTCCGTTAACCTCCTTCTAACAAAAACATAACATTCAGTAAAGGTGTAACACTCACCTTAATTCATGCCAAAACATATTAATTTGGTCGTGCAAGAAAAGTTTCAAAGAATCCAGGAAGTTATTGTCAAAACCAACCTGTCTTGAAGAGGTGGAAGAAGAGCCATTGAACTTCTTTCATGTCTAAGAAAAAGAAGTGAGGACACAACAAGAAGAATGATTGATGGATTTGGATCCCCATGGATAGCCTGAAGCTCCCTTCGAATCCATGGTTCTATTCTTTGCACAATTTTCTCTTTATCAAAAGCATTTCTGGGTACATTCTGAAAGCAATGAGAGAACACATCAAGATCATATATTGAACTAGTCTGCTGCTTCATATCTTGGTTCTTTGTTCTTCTTCTAAAGTTCATTTGCCCCATAAAAACAAATTTAATAAATGATAATTTTCCAAATATTGCCAACCTTAAACCATGTAAACATACCTACTGAGAACTAATCCAATGAGATATAGGAACAACTTGCACTCTTCGATTTTACACACTGCAAAAAGAAACCCAAAATTTTCCCATCAACCATTTTCTTTCTTTTTTCCTTTTTCTATCCCCAAGAACAAAAGAATAATCATATAGCTAGGCTGGTCGGCATAAAGTACCTGTCACACCATTGAAGTTTCCTTTCATCGATAACATGAAGCGGAACATGTTAGAACTAAATTATAATAAATATTAAATTAACCAGGATCAAATCATTTAAAATTATCAAGAATAAAAATATTAGATGTGGAAACGTACTTAAATTAATTAATGGGTTGAAATTTTTGAGTCTTTTTTTGGTTGTGATCTTCTAAGAATATATGTTTGCTCAAAACTCTCTGACGAAGATAAGAGTAATACTAATTAAGTTATTTCTTGGGGACCATTTCCTATGTATAGAGATTGAATATTAGGTCAAACTTTTAAGTATTTATAATTTTGCACTTATCAAATTATAAATACAACTTATGGTATCTACACTTTGATTGCATGACACTTTAATACATATAATACGTGTAACATAATTGATCACTTAATTTTGTGTCATACTTTATGATAACATTGTACATTATACATATGTGCCCACAAATATGAATTTTAATCAAACAATCTCCCACTAGGGCAACATATGCTTCCTGACAAATGTACAACCTTAAGAGCACAAAATTTGCTATCATATAATAAGTATTCTATAATAATCTCGCCTATCAACTATATCCATATAGGATCAAAGCGACCTTTGTCATATCAATCATGACTAGACCAATCAATGGTCACGTATACAAACACAATCAAACGACATCGATTAATCATGGATCGTAGCATGAAAATTACATGCAATGTGAACCTCACATGTCTATTTCCAACTGGTCCTATTTAAACATTAGTAAGATCAAAATTTACCAAAACCATAGTGTGGATAAACCAAAACAGACTTCATTTTTGCGAAAAATAACTTTAACATAAATATCCTTAAATTGAAGTAACTGAAATTGTGTCTATAACAAACGAGCATTAAAATTACAAACTCCCACTAAAATCGAATACCCTTAAATGATATTACACCCACATGAGTAGTGTGCTCATGAAAGACCTTGGGTGACGGTTCATTAGTAAGTGCGCAATTATGAGTTTATACCAATATACTCTATAAACACATAATCACTCTGAATTCCTTTAACAGACAAAAACATAATGTATATGTGCTTAGACTTACAGTGTTTCTATTATATATGGAATAAAGGACTACAACTTAGTTGTCACAAATAACTCAAGTGATCTTTCTTATTAATCCATAATTAGTAGTTCATGTGACAAAATTTTGCATACATATTCCAATAAGTTGGAGTCCATAAACTTAATAATCTATTGCTTACTAGACCTCAGACACGTGAGCATTTAACATTTTTATTCTTAAATGTATTGTATGAATTGATTTGGATGCTATCCCACGATCCATACCCAAATTGCTTAAATATTTGCTAAATATCATAAAATCATAGGTTATGTCTGAATGCGTATAAGCTTGAGTATACATTAAATTCTTTATTTATTTTGAAGCATAAGGAACCTTTTACATTTCCTTAGTTTCATAATCATCCTTAGGACGTTGATCAAGACTAAACTTGATTCCTTAAGCAATAAGGGGTATTATTTGGTTTACTCCCACTGAACTTATAATATATACATTTATAAACCAAAATCATCCCAAAACCAAACGAGATAACCACTTGGTGAAGTTTGTTATACAATTAATGGGAGTAATACTTGAACTTATAAATGGAATTCCTTGATTTGCATATTATTAATTTTGTATCATTAGCTACAATTTTCTGATTGCACGGTATAAAATATTTCATCAATGTTACTATTACGAAACACAATTTTGAAATCCAACTTATGTAACTCAAAACCAAATATGAGCAACAAGTATCATAATTATCCTGAAAGTGTTTTTTAATGAAACCAAAGAGAAAGTCTCTACAAAATTAATGCATTATTTCTGAGTATATCCTTTAAATACAAGACATGTCTTATACTTATCAACATTACCATTTGCATCAATCTTGATTATAAATACTCATTTGTAACCAATTAACCTTGCAACTTTAGGTAATTGGATAAGTCTTCAAACTTTATTATCTTGTATAAACTTATACTTTTCTTACTTGTCATTAACCCACTTTTGAGAGTCATAACTTTTTTAGCGCCGTTAAGTGATATTGTCAGATGACTGTATTGCAAGTTTCGAAAGTTAGGTGACTAAAATGCAAACATCCTAAAAGTTCAGGGAGTATTTATACACTTTACCCAAAAAATAAAACATTGTCTTTTCTCCCTTAGTTCTTTTTTAGTTCCGTTGAGTGATATTGTCGTATGATGTTGGGCTTCTAAGCTGATCACTTAATGACGCAATTTATTTTAGGGTAAATTACGTATTAGCAATTATACTATTAGTTTTAGTCTATTTTAATACTTAAATTTTTAAATTTTTTAAATTCATACATAAAGTTTAATTTTTATTTTATTTTAATATTTCAATCCAAAATTTAACGTTAAGTTTTAAAAATAAAATCTAAACGTTGTCTTCTCTTGTCTTCTCTTTTCCAAGAAAAGAAAGAGCCTCTTTATGGCATGCTCCATTCATGCGTAAGCCACTGTCATTTTCCTTATGGGAGGAGAACTGCTTCTTTGACTCGTAACTTTTTCTTTTTCGCACGGAGTTCATCGATATCTTGAAACCAACATACTAACTAGTGACAGTGTTTGATTTCTTGCATGCTCTTGTGAAGCTGTGTGGGTTTGGCGTGCAGGCCTTCTAGTATTTAGCCCATTGGTTAATATACAACTGGAAACCTGAATCCGCCATATTCAAAACGTAACCATTTTTGTTGAAATTAGCGGCACCCTTCTTTCACAATAGCTCCATTTGCTCAAAAGCTCCCTCATAGGCTTCTCGAAGAGAAGTTTATTTCTCTCTTACAATCATGTAAGACCTTAAGACATCTCTTCCAAATCCAAACCCAAATATTCATTCATGGCTTTGACCTGAACCAATACTTAACTCCAAGATTTACGACTGCATGTATACAGCTGAAGCAATTTGGTATTGCACAGAAATTGTTTGATAGAAATCCTGAACCAAACACATCTCTATGGAATTCAGTGATTAAGGGCTATGCACAAAACGGGCTTCATGAGAAAGTTATATCCTCGTTTAGTCAAATGAAAAGCATGGATTTTTCAGCGCCCAATTGTTATACTTTCCCTGTTGTCCTTAAATCTTGTTTGAAGTGTAATGCTTTCAGAGAAGGCGAGGAGGTGCATTGTGTCGTGATAAAGAGTGGTTTTAAAGGAAACCCTTTTGTGGGAACTACGTTAATCGAGATGTATTCTGGTTGGAGACTGATAGGAGCAGCTTATAGAGTGTTTAATGAAATGGTTGACAGGAATATTGTTGCTTGGACTGCAATGATTAATGGGTTTATCCTTTTTCACGATTTAGTTAAGGCAAGACGTCTTTTCGATTTGGCACCGGAGCGCGATATCGTGTTGTGGAATACTATTGTTTCAGGTTATATCGAGGTGGGGGATATGGTGGAAGCAAGGAAGCTTTTTGACCAGATGCCAAAAAAGGATGTTATGTCATGGAATACAATGTTGCAGGGCTACGCAATTAATGGTGATGTTGAGGCTTGTGAGGGGTTGTTTGAAGAGATTCCTGAGAGGAATGTGTTCTCGTGGAATGGTTTGATCGGAGGGTATGCAAGGAATGGATTTTTCTTGGAGGTTTTAGATGCTTTCAAGAGGATGTTAATTGAAGATGATGTTCTTCCTAATGATGCCACACTTGTAACAGTGTTGTCTTCATGTGCCAGGTTAGGAGCTTTGGATATGGGGAAATGGGTTCATATATACGCAGAAAATAATGGATATAAAGGAAATGTTTATGTTGGGAATGCGTTAATTGATTTGTATGCAAAATGTGGGATGATAAAGAATGCAGTTGATGTGTTCAAGAGCATGAGTAAGACGGATTTGATCAGTTGGAACACAATAATTGGGGGATTAGCAATGCATGGCCGTGGAGCTGATGCTTTAGATCTCTTTTCTCAAATGAAGAATGGAGTCATTCCAGATGGAATTACCTTCATAGGTGTTTTGTGTGCCTGTACACATATGGGTTTACTCGAAGATGGTTTTGCACATTTCCAATCAATGGTTGATGATTACTCAATTGAGCCTCAGATTGAGCATTATGGATGTATGGTTGACCTTCTAGCCCGAGCTGGTCTTTTACCACAGGCTCTGGATTTTGTGAGGAAGATGCCTATGGAAGCAGATGCGGTTATTTGGGCAGCCTTACTTGGAGCATGCCGGGTTTACAAAAACGTCCAAGTTGCCGAGTTAGCTCTTGAACAGCTCAGTAAACTTGAGCCAAAGAATCCTGCAAACTTTGTGATGCTGGCAAACATATATGGAGATCTTGGTAGGTGGAAAGATGTAGCAAGATTAAAAGTTGCGATGCGAGATACTGGTTATAAGAAAGTGCCTGGTTGTAGCTCGATCGAGATTAATGACAGTGTAGTTGAGTTTTACTCCCTAGATGAGAGGCGCCTCGAAACAAAGGAAATATATGGAGCCTTGAGGGGATTGAATAGACTGTGTAGATCATGTGGATATGTATCTGATCTTCAAGAGCTAGGGCATGTTTCAAGTGGCTGAGTTTTACTCACAGCCCCTTCAACCGGTGTCATGTCTTGACTGGTCTTCTCCAAGATGTGATTGTTTAAAGATTCATGAGCCTATTCTGTGACTCTTTTGATGTTTAAACTTGAAACAAAATTGAAATCGCAAAGCAGTTCAAATCCTCAGCCAAAATTTAAGAACTCGATTGTTAAAAGGACACTCAAATAAGCTCTCCGGTCTCCATTATGGCTTCTGAGTGCAAGGCCTTATTCTTTTTTAAGGTAAACTATATGATTAGTGCCTAAACTATTATTTTTGTTTTATTTTGGTGCTTAAATTTTATTTTGTTTCAAAATCATACCTAACATTTAGTTTAGGTTTCATTTTAGTACCATACCGTTAAAACTTAACGGAATTGTGTGATATTTTTATGGGTAAATTACATCATTCATCACTCAATTATCTTTTCACTTCTATTTTAGTTACTAAAATTTAAAAACAAATTCATTTTACTATTCAACTTTCAAATTGCTCCTATTTTAATCACTCTAATTTAATTTATTAATATTTTTTGTGACATGACATTTTTTATTTTATTAATATACAATTAAAAGATGTCACGTCATATAAAATATTAATAAAATAAGTTAGAGAGATGAAAATAGGAGTAATATGAAAGTTAAGTGATTAAATTAAAAAATTGAACTTCAATTACCAAAAGAGGAGTGAGAAGATGGTTAAGTGATAAATGATGTAATTTACTCATAAAAAATATCACATGCAACAGTTCCATTAAGTTTTTGACGAGGCAACAAAAAATAATTTAGGTACTAAACATGTAAATTACCCTTTTTAAGCACCAACCGTTAAACCCCTAACGCCAGCTAACATTTTAGACCTTTTTAGTCACCCAAATGATCATTTTTTATATTTGTTGTTATCTTAAAAGTTGGGTGAGCATTTAGGTAGTTTATCCTAAAGATAAATGAAAAAAAAAGTTGGCAATGAAAGCATTCTAGCAAACAACTTCAAAGCTCTAGGATCGAAAATAATATTTATAAACGACCCTCTACAAGATCAAGCTTGCTCAATATCCGGTCTAATGCTTGAACCGTTTCTTTGCGTCGACCTTCTGATTTTCGGCCTTCTTCAACAACCTGCATAATGCATTTGTAAAGATGATCATACCTATGAACTGGGTTATTAACATCAATACCACTGTGGTCATGATTCATAACATAACTCCTATTAATATCTTTTCTCCATCGTGATAGAATGTATTGAGGGGGGATCTCCTCGATGCCAGTTTGGTGAAGGACGCTCAGTGCATGCCGACAAAAATACCCTTTGAAGTTAAACAAACCGCAAACACAAAGCACCTCCATTTCGGTTGCATTGTACAAAACCTCGAAGTCCCTAGTCTCCCTTTTGTTTCCATCTACTGCAGTTTGTTCCCTGACCATGTATGTAATTACTTGTCCCTTGGCGTTTATTTGTCTCGTGCTAAAACATGAGTACATTCCCTCAACCTCTTGTTCAAACTTCCTTAAGATATTGTTCGTGTACAGTTTTCCAAGTGACAACTCGACATAACATCTGGATTTTAGCATAAAACCCGGATTTCTTGATTCCATATCAGCCAAAACTTCCAGCTGATAATTTGCCTGTAGGGCTTGATCATATTTGTCCAAAAATTCCTTCAAAGAAGTATGTCTATCAAGATAGCCACCGAAAAATGACTCCACAACCTCATTTGGCCGGGTTGGAAGCATTCCTGCAAGAAATGTCTCCTTCAAATAAACAGGAACCCATCGTCTGCGATATTCATATAACATTTGAAGCCAAATATGATCCCTGATTCCGTAATGGTGGATCATATCTTCCCATGTGGTTTCGAATTCCTCAGGCCTTAGAGAGTAATAAACTGCATTATGTAATGTCATTCTAATTGATTCATATTCATACAATCCACCCAGTTTATCCGGAACCTTTTGCATTATCCTTGGCAAACAAAGACAATGAGAAGCCCTCGGAAAAACATCAGCAATAGCAGTTTGCAGGGTTCTACACTGATTGGTGATGATGACCTGTGGAGGACGTCCTAACATGCATGAAAGCCATGCCCTAAACAACCAGGTATATGATTCGATAGTATCACCTGCAAGCAAACCACAACCCAAAAGCACAGACTGCCCATGATGATTCACTCCAACAAACGAAACCAGTGGGACTTCGTATTTGTCCGTTAAGCAGGAAGTGTCGATTGATTGCAACTACATCACCGAAGTAACCGTATGCAACTCTAGACCTTGCACTGGTCCAGAATAAATTCCTCAAACATCCTTTCTCGTTGAGATCCAACACATAAAAGAAGTTTGGATCAATCAGTTGCAAGTGGCTAAAATAATTATGAATAGCTTGTGCATCTCCATTTTTAAGCCTTAATTGATTGGTTTGGTTATGAGCAGTCTGGAGTTCTCCATCACTGACTTCTGCACTTCCATTCCCTTCAACATCAACAATCACTGTTCGAAAAACCCTAAGCTTTTGGACTTCTTCAGCACTGTCTATCTGCAGTGCTCTTTTGGTTCCAAGACCTAATTGCTTATGGGACTTGTAGAATTTTCCACTCACAGGGCTGATCAAATGGTTATGGTAAAGCTCAACTTATATGATTCTCCACCTTTTGTTATCCATCACCCTGAATTTTATCATCGCAGGGCATCCAGTCCTTGTTTCAGGTCTTGGCCGGTTTGTTTCACTCTTCTTCTTGAATCCTGCAATACTGCAGCCCAATTTGCCTCTGTATCTTTCTTTGCTCTTCCGATACCATGTGTTGCTTACTCTAACACCGAATCCCTGTTCCTTGGCATAACAATTGTAAAAGTAATATACATCCTCGTATGAATCAAATTCCATTCCGACGACAGGAGGCAGAGGATTCTCTCCTTGAATAACACCACTTTGCCTAACACATTCTGCCATTTCACAATCACCTTCAATCTCGAATTCATCGGCATCATCATCAACAACTGGATCAGTATTAAGAGAAACTTCCTCCATCTGTGACAAAAGTATATCAAATATCCACAAATCAAAAAGAAAGGCAAACAAATGATAAGTAACATAAAGAAAACTAGATTCCAAATACACTTTCCAGATAAACAGAATCATGGATACCAACTAACAAGACGATATCTTCCAGAGATCGACTAGAAGGCAATGTATGAGTGTCGACAACGTGAGGGTGTTCACTACATCAATTACATGAACCATGTATTGCACCGTGCAGTTTTACATATAACAAAACGAAAATTTCCATCATCAAAGCACCAAGAAGCGGCCTCAATTCTATTGAATGAGCAAGGCTTCATATATATATATGTAACTCAACGAGAATATATATGTATACACACACCTAGGCATAAAAACAGCATAATGGGGTTAAACACAGTAGCAATTTTTCTTCCTTTTCCTTTCAAATAATTGGCCATCAATGCATGCTGACGATTAATTTATGCTTATCAACTCCTCCATTAACAATAGAACTCAGAGATTCGATGTACAGAGCAAGAACTATTAGAAACAGGTTCAATTAACTTAAACTCAGTGTGGTGTGGGTGCCCTTTGCAAAGAATAACTCATAATTGATAAGAAAAATGGGTAAAATGTAACCTTAGATTCATAATTAAGATCAAAAGCAGATGACCCAAACAGCAAAAGAAAATGAATGAGTTGACCTCATTCAAAGCATAGATGACAGTATAATTCAGCTCAAAAATCTTGAAAGCTTAGAAAATATCCGCCTGGGGGGGGAGTTAGAGGATTTACCAAAAGAATTGATTCAAGAACTGATCTTTCAAAGTGTTGAGAACAGAGTAAAGAAAAATTAGTTCAATCCTTGTTCCAAACGAGATGGATGAAGCACAATATGACATCACTAGGGGATAATTTCTTTTTCAAGGACCCTTATACTTTATTAATCATAAATGGCCCCGTTTTATTCTTCTTCTTTACGATAGGTCCTTCAAATCTTTAGAAAATGATGAAAAAGGTTGGTAATTGATTAAAGTAGACAATTAGGTTGGGGAGCAGCTTATTAAAATCTTTATTTGATTTCGCCAACTTCTTTAACAAGCCAATAATCAATCATCCTCCAATTACTTAATCAAATCTCATAGTGATTCTAGCGGCAGGAATTATGGTGATGTCGATGGTGCTAATGGTGGAAATAAACGAACTTAATGGGCTAATTGTAACAGTCCACCAAAAATACCGTCATGACCATACCTCGCCATTACTAGCCTATGCGCATATGGGTATTTCTTCTTCTTTTTATTCCATTTCTCAATCTTTTCTCTTTTTTTCTTTTTTTTTGAATGAGAAAGGGCCGAACGGCCAAGTACAGAAGACTAAAGTCTTAGGTAAGCTGGACCATGAAGGTTTCTATGCATGCAGTCGAGCACACGAGGAGGAGCAGCTGGGATGTAGTCGGTGAGTCCATCGAGTTCGGGGTCATCACCTAAGAAGAAACTAGACCACCCAAGCTTTGGAGGTCATCACACCACGGAAAGTGAACTTGAGTGGGCATCGTTGGAAGATGTGAGCTTGTGGGCTTCAGCACAGTCGGTTTGGTATTGAAGACGTTCGAACCCAGGGTTCCAAGCAATGTGGAGTCCGACGAGAATACCCCAAAGTTCTACAGGGAGAGGTTGAGATATACCAAGGAATTTGCGGAAACCAGCGAGCCAATCACCATCAGAATTGCGGAGGAGGCCACCAGCGACGCCATGGCGCGTATTGGGGTTGAATGCACCATCAGTATTTAACGTTATCCAATCAGCGGGGGTCGGTTGCCATTGGATTTCCTTCGGCTGCTTAAGCACCTGGTGAGCCGAAGAGAAGGGATGGGAGGAGCAGTAGTTTGAAGCCTAAAGCGTGTTGTGGTGGAGGAGAGCGTTATTGGGGTGAACATCGGCCGAAAAAATCGCCGAGTATCGCCGCTTCCAAACCTGCCAAATAAGAGAAGAAAACATAATATTCCAGTTAATGTTAGTACTAGAGAAGAGATTAGTGGGGCGAAGATTTTGGAGGAGCCAGTCTTGGAGCGGGTGCTAAAAAAATCGGGAATCTGATGAGTTTCAGGGATGAAAAGCCAGAGATTTTTGGTTATTTCACAATCGCAAAGAATATGCAGGGTTGTTTCATCTTGAGAGCAACAGATATGGCAAGTGGGGTCATCAGTAAGATGGCGATGGTAGCGGCTGAGGTTGGTGAGGAGCTTGTCCCTTAGGGAGAGCCAGAGGAAGAATCTGATGTGTTCAGGGATCGAGGTATGCTAGATGAGATCCCATTTGTTATCTTGGTCGTCCCAATCACTAGCAGCCAGGAGGCGATAGGTAAAGTTGATTGAGAAGTGACCATTTGACCTGGTTCCCAGTAACAACGGTCATGGCCAATGGAAGGGTCCGGGTGGTGGATATTCAGAATGTGATCAACGGCTTCAGCGACAAGGAGATGGGAAAAAAGGTTCCAGTTCCAGGAGCCATTTGGAAGGGTGGCATCACAAACAAGGAGATCCTCATTGATAATGGCATTGGGTTTTCGCTAGTGAAAGAGGGGACCAAAATGAGGTATCCAAGAGTCCTGCCAGAATCGAGTGAGGCGACAATCACCGACTGACCAGGAAATAAATTCACGGAGTGAAGGCCAGATGTTGGAAAGGGCTCGCCAAAGGTGGGAGCAGTTAGGCTTAGTGATGGAAAAGGGACAACGATCAAAAACCTTGTATTTTTATCGGAGAAGGGAATTCCAGTAGTTACCAAGACTATCCATAAGAGCATAGCAGATCTTCATGAGGAAAACGGTATTTTGAGTTTGGGGTTTACGAATTCTGAGGTTGCCATGGTACCGAGGTTGGGTGAGGAGGTACCAACGGACAAGGGGGATGCCATGGTTGTGATCTTTGAAGCTCCAAACAAAATTACGGATGAGTTTCTCAATGTCATAAAAAACATGAGCGGGGAAATAACACGACTGCATAAAGTAGGTCGGGATGGCGGACATGACGGAGTTGGCAAGGGTAACACGGTCAGTAAGGGAGAGGGTGCTAGCTGACAAGCCTTCAAGCTTCTTGCGGATTTTGTCCAGGATGAAGTTATAGAACTCACAAGTGGCAAGCTTAAGCATGACAGGAATGCCAAGGTAAGTGCCAAGGTCGGAGACTTGTCTTATCCCAAGACAAGAGCTGATGGCATCAGCATGATTGGGGGTCGTATTCTTGGAAAAATAGATCTAAGATTTGAATTTGTTCACCTTGTGGCCAGAGTAGATGTCAAACTCATCAAGAATCTGATTGATAACTTGAGCTTGGTCGGTGGAAGCTTTGGCGAAAAGGATGAGGTCATCGGCAAAGAAGAGGTGGGAGATCGAGAGGCCACCTCTAACCAAATTGAAAGGGGTCCAGGAACCCTCAGTGACAACTTTATTAATGTTGTGGCCAAACCTCTCCATCGTCAAAACAAAAAGGTAGGGAGAAAAGGGGTCTCCCTGACGAATTCCACGATTAGGAGCAAAGGAGTTTAGGAGCATGGTGGAAGTGGAAATGCAATGCAAAATCAGGTGACGGAGGGAAGGGGAAGCCCATCGTCAAAAAGGGTGTCCGAAATAAAGTCCTAGCGGTGGCGATCAAAGGCTTTCTCAAGGTCAATTTTGATTGCCATCCAGCCAATGTTCCCTTTATTCGAGTTCATGGCGTGCATGACTTCTTGATTAATAATCACATTTTCCATGATATTCCTACCAGAAATGAAGTTGGTTTGATTAGGGGCTATAAGGTGGGGGATGATAGGCTTAAGACGGTGAACGAGGATCTTAGTGATGAGCGTGTAAAGAACCATGTAAAGGCTGATAAGCAGAAAATCTTTAAAAGTCGAAGGACTAACGGTTTGGGAATGAGAGCAAGGATGGTTTTGTTGAAAGACGGGTCAATGCTATTACCAGAGAAAATGTCTTGAATTGTTCTGTAAATGGAGAGTCCCACAATCTCCCAGTGATTTTGGAAAAAGTCGGCGTGGAGACCATCCGCACCAGGGGATTTAAGGGGAGACATAGCAAACAAAGCATCTTTGATTTTAGAGGGTTCAGGAATGAGATCGAGAGGGTGCATCTCATCAGGAGGGAGGGGGAAGCAGCCACGATGGGGAAATTTAAAAGGAGCTTAGCAATTTCTCGATAACTCGTCTGTCTCCCACTCTTTCTCTAAACTCCAACAGCAGAAATCAAATATTTGGTATGCAAAACTTTAAAGGAGTTTGTTCAACTCCGCTTGCAGTGCCCCCAGCGGAAAAGGAGCAAAAATTCCTTTGAAAATGGTATAAATGTCATTGGGCCTATCTTTCTCAGGTAAGCAACAATCATTTCAGCTACCTCCATTTTCACTAGTTCCATTGCAAAAACCAGTTTCTCAGGTAAGCAACCTTTATGTTTTGCCTTTCAGGATTGCTCCATTTTATGCTCGATTATTTCGTGGAAAGTGTTATTTTGGTCCTTTCACATTTGATAGCTTCCGATGTGCTTGAAACCCGGAGTTTCGATTCTCTAAAGCTTCTTCGAGAAGTTCGATCTCAGATGGAATTAGGTTCAGAATTGAAGAATTTTAAGGCAGCAAGCGGTAGAAGTGAACATGCAAGAACAAGCAATCAGTCAAGCGTAAAGATTGATGTCTCGGTAGAATCTATCTTGAAACAAGAACACTTGTTCTCTGGAAGCGCCTATTCAAGTCCAAAACAGGCACTGAATCAATCTGGGTCGATAATAAGTCATCCAAGAAAAAGGGTTAGCAGCAAATATTGTTAGGGTAAGCTGGTTTTGCAGGCTCCTGAAGCTGAAGACCTAAATGCAAGATTGAGGAAACTTGAAGAAGGTGAACTTATGAAGCAAGTATTCTTGGAGACGGTGGTGGAAAAGAAAAAAACTAATTAATGAAATGTGTTTGAGACACTGCACTGCACTGCACCATCCTCGATAAGGATAAAGAAGATGGACAATTAATCATCATACCTTCTAGGGTATTCCAGTTTGAGCCCTAGGTTTAAATCTTGCTTCTGCTAATCCTTATGTATTTGGAGACGAAATATTGTTTCGAGTAAGATTTCATAGCATTGAACCCTAGACATATCCTAGCTGGTCCAAGTAACCATCATCATCAAGTCACGCCATACTATAATCCAAGATTTAAATTTATTCCGAGGCTAAGGCCTTGGGTCCTCTGTATAAAGAAAATAATGTTATTTTCGCAATGGATAAATCCAGATTAACCATGGCATTGCAGTATCCCTTACTGTTTTTGTACTGGCCGAGTACCACATAAACCCTACCAGGAAACCATCTCAGTGATGGTGATGAAGGTGGGGTTAAACAGGTACAAGGCCAGGAACATCCAAGACAAGTTGTATCGGAAAATCCAGGTTTTTGATATCTTAAAGACCAATGCATTAGCAACTTTCGATCAGAGATGCACATTAATTAGACATAGATTTAGGGCTTAGCAAAACAAAAACGTAAAGGCAAACCTTAAAAAGAACAAAACAAACTGCAGCGGAGTTTCCCAAAAGAAACATGATACGTGATTCTATTTTCCCTCATTATTGAGCTTTGAATTAGTTCATGTCAAAGAAACAAAACTTGCATTAAGGCACAACACCCCAAGATGAAAAGGGGCCCGTCCCCAGATTCTATATTTGATACAATCCAAAACAAATTCAGAATACATATAAGCATAACTCAAATTTCTCCTCTGTATCCACCAGAACCAAAATAATCTCTTCTGGAATTTGCAATAGCCATGCTTTTCTGATGCTCTAACTTGGGGCAATCCCGGATACGATGCCCCAATCCACCACAATAAGCACAACCCTTTACGCCACTTGCATTGGTGATTGCATCAACATCTTCCATCGGATCACTGAGCTCGGCTAAGACAGGTGGAATCCTCTGTTTGGCTTCTTGCAGTAGGTGTTTCAAATCAAGCAGGGTTGTCTCACTTTGATTCTTGTTTATAAATGTGGTTGCAATTCCTGTTTTACCACATCTTCCTGTTCGTCCTATTCTGTGGACATAGTTTTCAATTTCCGCAGGCATATCATAATTGATCACATGTTGAATATCCGGAAAATCCAAACCTTTTGATGCAACATCGGTTGCAACTAAGACATCCTTCTTGCCAGCTTTAAAGGATGAAATGGCATACTCTCTCTCTTCTTGGTCCTTGCCTCCATGAACCGCCACAGCTTCAACTCCTTTCAGGAGGAGATATTCATGAATGTCATCCACATCAGCCTTATTCTCACAAAATATTAGAACAGGTGGAGGGGTCTTCTGTAGGCATTCAAGGAGGTAGACAATCTTGGCCTCTTGCTTCACATACTCGACCTCCTGAATCACATCAAGATTTGCAGCTCCTGCTCTGCCAACATTAACAGTAACTGGCTTGACTAAAGCACTTCTGGCAAAGTTCTGAATTTTGGTAGGCATGGTGGCGGAAAACAAAAGGGTTTGCCTTTGAGCCTTAAAATGGTCAAACACTTCCCTGATGTCATCTTCAAATCCTAAATCCACTAATCTATCTGCTTCATCCAATGTCAAATACCTACAGCAGAGACACAAATGCTTGAGTATCATTACCTATCCAGAACAAAAAAGTTAAATCCAAAACTGCATACATGAAATTATTTTGATAAGAAAGCTTACTGTAACAGATTCAACACATTTGCTATCTTTGAAATCAAGTACAAGTATAGCTAACAAATCCACATGCATCTAAAATTGCCAAATAACCGAAGTACATAGAGATATCTAACAAAATGAATAATAACAAAGAAAACCAAAAGGCAGAACAGTCGTTTCCCAATAAATGCAACTTGAAGAAAATAACAGATCTGGTAATAGAATTGGTACCATCCAACATCTTTGAAAATAAATGCAAGAAAATTTGGATAAGAAACCAGTGTAAGAAACACCACATATTTTCATCAGAAACAAACACAAGTGAGAACAAATTAACAGGCAAAAAAAAGTAGATTGGCCCCCACCAAGCCTCTATAACATTTTAGCATCCGACTCCTGATATAGAATCAGCTTAAGCTACCATAACCAACTAAATTCAAACACATACTATAATGAAGATGATAAGAATAAATGTAGCACGTTAGCTAATTGAAAATGGTGTTACTAAAAGCACTGAATTAGGAAACATACCTGCAATTGTCTAAAGTCATCTTCTTCTTGGCGAGCATATCCTTCAACCTCCCAGGTGTAGCAACAACAATATGAACCCCTTTCTTCACAACATCCAACTGAGACCTCATATCTACACCACCAATACAAAGCAATGGCCTGAGTTCCGGATACCCATTTTCCCTCATAGGTACCAAAAATTGCTCCACCACTTCATACGTCTGCCTAGCAAGCTCCCGGGAAGGACAGACAATCAACCCAAAAGGACCTTCTCCTGGAAGAATTGGCATCATCAACTCCTCCTGTAATGCAATCATAATCAACGGAAGCACAAAAACAAGCGTTTTCCCTGACCCTGTAAAGGCAATCCCAATCATATCTCTTCCAGATAAAATAACAGGCAGACCTTGGACTTGAATTGGAGTCGGCTGCACAATTCCCTTTTCCTTTAACTTCTTTAATACTGGATCTGGAAACTTCATATCCTTAAAATTCTTTATAGGGGGAGGAATCTCCTCCCCATCAACAATAATATGCCATTGCTTTCGAATAAAATCCCTATCTTTTTGAGGCATCCTTCGAATATGCAAAGGCGGTTTCCACCCTGTCATCAAGGGTTCCGTATAAGTAATCCCTTTAGCCAACTCCCGAACTGACATAAGCGTTTTCTTATCTGATAAATGCTCAATCATGTCTTTCTCTTGTTGTACAATTTGTTCCATTTGACTGACCTCAGGTTGGTCCTTTTTAAGCTGAGTTGCTTTTATAAGCAAACTAGGTTTCACTTCAGCAACATTGGATTTTTCAGCTTCATCCTCAAGTGCGGAAGCCTTGCCCTTTCGTTGTAGAATTTTTTGAGCTTCCATAGCTCGGCGTTTCGCAACCGGAATATACTCAACGTAATCATCGTCTTCCCCCATGTTATTAATTTTCTGTATTATAAAAACCCTAAATTAAGATTTAACAACAATAATTTCAGGGAAAAAACAATTCCCGAACTAATACAGAATAAACCCTAAATGAGCTAAGGAAGGCACGAATAAAGTTAATAGAAAGCAATGGAGTTGTGATAATCACCTTACTTGGTATGGCAAGTAAGCGGAACGGTGCAGTGGCGGACGGCGGGCGGGTGTCGCTGAATCGCGGTGTTGTTTTGGGAGAGACCGAGAGAGAGATGAGGGTGGGGAAAGTTCAAAGAATAATTCGGTAATCTGATGGGCTGGCTGGGCTGGGTTTGAGCTTTGAACTAACTTTCTCATTTATCAAAGCCCCGTCTATTTTAGAGAATTCGGAATTCATATATCATTTCAGATATATACAAAATTAAAAACTTTTAGGTTAAATTATAACAATGACCACTTAATTATTTTGTTTTCATTCTGATCAATAATATTTTAATTTTATCAACCAAATCATCTAATTGTTTAAATGATGTCAATCAAATCACCTACCATTAATATTTAATGGATTTAACGGAAGTGCTAACATGACCATTAACAAATTGATATAATTATACAATTGAATTATAATACTTATAAAATATATCAAAATGATTCTAATTTTAATTTAATTCGATAAATTTAATTATTTATTCAGATGATGACATGTGTCACCATTAAATTAAAGATTTTTTATTAGGGGTGTTCAAACAGTTAAATTGGTTAACCGACCGAATTGAATTGCCCAAATTTGATTAATCGATTTTTCCATTTAACCGTTAACTAAACCAGATTTTTTTTCAAAAATATTTAACCGAACCGAACTAAGTTTGGTCAATTGATCAGTTAACTGAATTAATCAAAATTTATAAATAATATATATTATATATTAAATATTTTTTATTAATTTGGTTAATTCGGTCAGTTAATTCAGTTAAAATCGAAGTTTAAACACCATAAAGCTAAATAATATATATAATATATTAAATATTTAATAATTTTTGTTAATTTAGTTAATTAACCGATTTCAAACCGAATTAATCAAAATTGAAATTTAAAAAATCATTAACTGTTAACCGACCGATTAATAGATCAAAATTCCAATCTGGTCGATTAATTCGGTTTTAACCGAATTATGAACACTCCTATTTTTTATAATTTAAATTTATTTAATTTAATTATTTTTTCTTCTAATTAAATGATTACACATGTATATATATTATAATATATTTAATGCTAGAAGAAAAGGAAATAAGCAAAGTGAAATTCAAACTTAGGCTGATTAGAAAATTTGGAAGTACCTAACAAATCTTAAACATACAATGTTTTTTTCTTCACATAATAACAAATTTAATTTTTCATTGGTACACTTAATTTTATTAGTTTTATTTTTTAATTAAATTCAACTCTCATTTTTTTATTTTAACAAAATACTAATTAAATAAAAACAACTTAGCATCTAAAGAAATCCACTATAATCATGTCTACTTATTTTATTGCTTAAACCCTAATATCCCCTCATAACAACTATGATTGATCTCAATGATAAAAGATAAAATTATTCTTTTAAATATTTTGAATCCGATTAGCTGCGTCTACAAGATATATATATATATAGTCAATAAATTAAAAAAATATTAAAATATATATCACTTTATAATCAACTCATATTATTTGACAATGATATATACAGAGTAACTAAGCAGCAAAGACAATCACGTAAGACATTCAATGGCGGTGCGACATAAACATAGTGAGGTGAGGAGTGGAGTGGCAAATGGGATGTTTAGCTATATATATATGCCCCATGACCATGATCTGCCATTGCATTTAAGGTCCAAATGCTCGCCTCATCTAGTGAGTAATGGCACTTCACATCCCATTAGAGGCGCAATTGGATTAGGTAAATAGTTTGTTGATTGTACTCAAGGCAACAATGTAGCCCGGAGAGGGAGAATCTCCATCCATTTTGCATTTATAAGATGTATCATTTCGTTTTGTCTCATACGTAATATCTGTATCTATTGATAATCGTAACTCTGCTTAGCTGCTCTGTCCTTCCTTCAATCTTATCCACTCTATTTATTACAAATTAATGCATCATGCAGTGCAGGTTCAATGTGTTTTTCATTTACTTTGCCACTTAGCTATAAACATGCAAATGCATATTTTTTATATATATTTAATAAAGCTAATATATTAAATCTGACTCTTTCTTTTTTCTTTAAATTCTATTACTGAGATTGCCAAATTAGAGAACCAATGGAAACAAATCTGAGAAGAATGGCAAATTTAATACAGCTGCATGCATGCACGTATTGGAACCCAACAGTCTTAATAACTCCATTCCCAAATTTCAAAGCAAACCATAAAGGTGTGAAGTTCAAGGCATTTTCTATTTTATCGCCAAAGGGAAAAGTCAAATTGACCATACTTGTAATAAACACTCGTTAAAATCACATCTCACTTTCACATGCACTCTATATATGTAAAACTTATAACCAAAGATAAGGGAAATGTGAAGCAGCAATGAAAGCAAGCGTTTTCATAGTGTTAGCTTTGCTTTTGTTGACCCAAAGTGCTACAGAGGCCAGGTCACATTCCCACCATAGTGGCCACCAACAAGAATTAAGAAGAAGAAGAAGAGGCGGTGGTGGTGGTGGGAGAAGAGGAGGAACATCTTGTGACCCGTTGTTTCAGTTCCTGTTCGGAACCTGTGGTCAATGGCCTTTCTCAACATCTGCCTCTCCGGACAACCCTTTTCTGCCTAGGCGAAGGCCTTCCCCTCGTAGGAGATCTCCGCCATTGCCGCCGCCTTTACCACCTTTATTACCATCCCCTCCTCCAATAGTCTCATCACCACCACCCTTACTTCCTTCACCTTCCCCACCACCAGTTACTTCTGCTCCACCACCTTCATCTGCTCCACCACCTTCATCCCCACCGCCGCTGTCACCGCCTCCACCATTAGTTCCATCACCACCACCACCGACAGAAAGTCCACCACCATTTGTATTTTCACCACCGCCGCTAGTTCTTTCACCACCTCCAACGCCAATATTTCCATGGCTAACTCCTCCGGTCACTCCATCGATTCCAGATTTATCACCACCACCAAACCCTTTCCTTCCGCCAGAGCCTGATACGACACCAGCACCACCTCTGCTCCCAATATTTTCTCCTCCAGGCGATGAATTTACACCACTCCCGCCCGTATTTACACCACCAGACGATGATTTTACACCAGCAACGCCACTACCGCCCGTATTTGCTACTCCAACGGAGCCTAACATGCCTCCAGATGATGGATTTACACCAACAACGCCTCTTCTTCCCGTATTTGCTCCACCAGTCGAGTTTCAACCAACACCACCGTTTCTGCCCATAATTTTTTCGCCGCCAGCACAAGATTTGCCGCCTGATGTGACCGTCCCAGCACCTATAGTCCCAATATTTTCTTCACCACAACTTCCACCCTTTACATTTGCACCACCCATTGAATCAACTGGTCCACCAAATGTTTTTCTGCCAACTCCAGTAATTCCAACTATCCCTGAGCAGCCATTTCCATTTTCCTCCACTCCATCAGCACCAGATACGGGTTTCATGCAGCCAGAGTCACCTCCGAAAACTTTCTTACCACCGGTCCAGCTTACTCCCGCATTTGATTCGCCTCCTTTTAAACATTAGATTCCTGTCTTGTGCTAGACTGCATATCCTCTCAAAATAAGGAGAAGATAGTTGATGGATGCTATGATATTCTCCTGTTCAAAAGTTACTTGTTTCCAGACTGTATGCCTTTGTATTAGTTTTCACGTTCCATGTATAATATATGTTAATGTTTAATGAATACAAAAATGAAGTAAAGTTTGATTTGAGGAAGAAAGATGAACATGAAAATAAATCAATGCCTAAACGGAGATGGTTTTGAGGCTTAAATGTATTCTATCTCTAACTTAATAAAAAAATCACTTTTAATTATTAATCAGTTAGATGTTCATTTAAATCATTATCCATCTTTAAAATCGAAAATGGTGTTGTTAGTGATAACAGCTAAAACATTAAAATAATGATCCGGACATAATAGGTGTAATGAGCAAGGCATCATTGGCAGATCAACTGTACGTATTGGACGTGAATGTAGTGGTGAGTAACCAACAATCGTGAGGCTTTAAGAAGGAAGCATCGAAATGTTAGAGACGTGATTCTCCAACTAGTAAACAACAACGGAATCACTCTCAATAATAACTCGAAGAGAATCAAGTTAACCGCTATGCGAATGCCATTATGGCATTCATCTCCATAGGACCAGCACCACAAGACCCCTGTATCAGAATAGCACGGCCAACAATTACCAGACCATTAGCATCGCAAGTAATGAGACCAATGTCCCGATGTCCAATGAATATGTCTCGTCTACATTAATTTTTGATGCAACCAGTAGGAGGCTTTTTCCAGCAAGCGACTTCCAAGGAAGTGAGAAGTGAGAAGTGAGAAGTGAGAAGTGAGAAGTGAGAAGTGAGAAGTGAGAAGTGAGCGATGGACAATGTGTCGGGGAAAATGAAGCTGCAACGTAGGCCGATTGAAGTGTCTTACTTAAGGATGGACGTGTGTCGGTTAAGTTTCTTATCGATCCGACTTGACTTAAAAAATATATTTTCTCCATTCGAAACCTGATTCGATTTATGTTTAAGACCACTTCACTCGTAAATTTTTTTACCTTAAATATATAAAATATAATTATATTATTTTTGAGTAATGTGAGGTATATATATATATATAAAGTAGGAATGAAGTATCTTTTTTAAGTTAAAATAATATTAAGTTATATGTTTTTCACCTTAAATATATAAGGTATTATTATACTATTTAATAAATTATATTTTCACTTATAATTTATTAAATGTATTATATTAGTATTTTAAATTATTTATCTTAATTTTAAAATATTTTAATATTATTTTAACTTAAAAAATACTTCATTCTTATCTAAACTTAAAACATATATTTTATTCTTATCTTATCTTAACTTAATATATATATATATTATTTTTATGCTAAATTCAAATATATATTTTAATTTTGTATTAATTTAAAAATATTTTTAACATATATTTAATAAGTTAAAGTAAAAATAAAATATATTTAATAAATTAATATAAGAATAAAATATATATTTAAAATAGATAAAATAACCTCAGTGACAAAAAATCTCATATAATATACGATTTTAACCAACTTTTTCCGGATTTGCCAAAAATGACCAACAAAATCGCAATGCGATCGCTAATTCGCAACGCGATCTCCATTATCGCAAATCAGTTTCCAGATTCGCAACGCGATTATGACTATTGCAATGCGATTTTCCAATTTCGCGTTGCGATTTTCTCAATTCGCAATGCGAATAAGTAAATCGCAATGCGAATTTGGAAAATCGCAATGCGATACTGACTATCGCAACGCGATAATACAAAATCGCAACGCGATACTGACTTTCGCAACGCGATACTGACTTTCGCAACGCGATTCTGACTTTCGCAACGAGATTCTGACTATCGCAACGAGATAATACAGAATCGCAATGCGATTTTCAAAGTTCGCAACATGTTTTAGTTTCGCAACACAAATTTTTTGGGTATATATCTACGCAGCAGCAACAACTCATAACCTAAATCCCTAAATCGTAACTCATTCCATCTCCATCTATCACTCTCTCCGGCAACATCTGTTCCTATATCCGTTTCTACATCCTTCCCCATCCGGCAACAGGTCTTAGTTTCGCAGCTCGTTTGTTTACTAAATTAATTTACAACCATGAAATCATCTAATGTTGATCATGTTTGGATAGATTTGTGTTTTGGAGGGTCATGAGAGAATGTTCATGGTGTTTTACAATATATGCCTTTAACCATGAATCTTCAACTAAAACTGTCATTAAAAAAGTTAACTTATGAAACTCTAATGTTACGTGTTTCAAAGAAATTGAATTTAGAGCCCTTAAGTGGATTTAGGCTATCTTATCAGAGAAATTGTAAAGTTTATTTGTTAACCGACAATGAAGATGTTGAACGATTCATTGCTTACATTAGTGTTTCAAGTGATGATGTTACATTGTATGTTGTTGAACCTAGAAGTAGTATTGTTGGGTCAGTAGCGGGTAGTAATCAACTAAGTTTTTCTCAAAACCCACAACCTTTCTCTAATCCAAATCCCAATCAACTTTCAGCACCAAATTCCGGTTTTCGTATTGACCAATTAGACGATGATGAGCCAACAGAAAAAATTGTGAGTACTAGTCAGTATTCGAAATTTGATCTTGGTCAATATCCGGACTTTGATATTGGTCAATACTCGGATTTTGATGATGTTTCAGAAGAAGAAACAAACCATGCGTGTAATGATTTTGATATTGGTCAATACCTGAATTTTGATGATGAAACAGCCGTTGCCGAGGAAGATGTTGTTGATGATAATGAGGAGGAAGTTACGACTGTGAATGAACATGTTGAACATCCATTATGTAATTCATATAATCCTGAAGAAGAAAAAGTCCCCGAAGAAAAGAAAATGCCACGGGAGTATAACTGGAATATGCCAGAATTAATTCAGATACCGGAAGAAGAGTTGGTAAAGAAAGCAGTTGATTGTTACACAAAAGTTATTCGTATCAAGAAAGATGATTGTTTTGATACAAAGGAAGACTTGAAGATAGCTTTGTATACGAAATGTGTGGAAGATAGCTATCAACTAAAAGTTAACAAATCAAGCAAAGATCGTTTCGAAACAAGGTGTATGATTGACAAAAACTGTACGTGGCGTATGATTGCAAAGAGGATAAAAGATTGCGAAATGTTTCAAGTTAGGACTTTTATTGATAAACATACATGTTCAAGAACCCAAGTTTTTCCTCACCATAGACAGGCAAACAAAAAGGTGTTGGGTGGTTTTCTGGCTGAGTTAATGTTTTTGAATGGCAGGGTATATCGGGGACATGAAATTATGACTGACATGAATGCTCGGTTCAAGATTAGTATATCATATTCTCAAGCTTGGAGAGCCAAATGTTAAGCCTTGGAATTGTTGAGGGGGTCGCCAGAAGCATCGTTTGCCCAACTGCCGGCTTATTGTCACAATTTAAAGCTGAAAAATCTTGGGTCGGTAACTCATATCAAAACAAATAGAGATGGACGCTTTGAGTTGATGTTTATCGCCATTGGTGCTGCGGTTAGTAAATCAATATAATTCTCCTGACTCATTTTTGTTAGTTACATGCATTTCACATTTAAATGATTATATTTCTTGTGTATATTATTTTGTAGATTCGTTCGTTTATTACTTGCATGCGCCCAGTTATTATAGTTGACGGAGCACATTTGAAAGGTCGATACCTTGGAGTAAACTTATTAGCAGTAGTCATGGATGCTAACAATGGGATATTGCCAATAGCTTACGGGGTTGGCAAATCTGAAACCTCTGATTCATGGACATGGTTTATGGGGCATCTTAGGGATTGCATAGGTCCTATTAGCAATCTGACAATCATATCCGATAGGCCAAACTCAATTGACAACGTTGTTAGAAGGTGTTTCCCAGATGCTTTTCATGGACTTTGTGGTGTTCATTTGTATAGAAATCTAAAATCAAGGTCTGATGGTATAAAAAAGCACAAATGGACATACTGGAAGGCTGTAAAAGCTTATCGGGAAGTGGATTTCAAGAAGCATATAAACTGTTTAAGACGTATTTTGCCTCAGTGTGCTCAAACACTAGAAGATGTCGGATTTGAAAGATGGTCAAGAGTACATCAACTTGGAGCAAGATATGGTTTCATGACGTCTAATAGTGCAGAATCAATCAACGCTCTAAGCCGTCATTCCCGGAAATTACCCATTACTATGTTAATGGAGTTTTTTCGAGCCTCTATTCAACAGTGGTACTACAAGAAAAGAAACCATGCATGTATTATTTCTTTGAATTCGTAACTTATCATATATTTTACTAAGTATTATTTATTTAAATTTACAGGAACATTGGAACATCGTGTTACACCATGAACTGAAAAAAAGATAACGAAACGTGTTGTGAAATCAACGTCATGGAGAGTTGAACCATGTTCAAACACTTTGTTTGAAGTACTAGATAATAACTTAAATGGGCTTGTCGATCTAAATGCAAGGACGTGTAGTTGTATGAAATGGCAAACATCTGGTTATCCGTGTGGCCATGTTATAAAAGTTGCTCTTCATTTAAACCAAGATGATTCAAGCACATACGCTATGGATTGCTACACTACAGAAGTATATCGACATACTTATGCCACATCCTTCTGAGTGAGACATACCAGATGACTTACAAACAGTTTTGCCACCAACCATGGACAGAAGGCTACCTGGCTGACCAAAAGTTCACGATCGTATACCGTCTAAGGGTGAAGAGAAGAAGAGATCGACATGTAGTCGGTGCAAGGAAAGTGGTCATACAAGGTTGACATGTGGTTCACCAGTGCCATCACAATCATCTTTTTCTCTACCAAAATATGGATCCTCATCAAAATCCAAAGCTCATATGGTGTCAAGCAAAAGGCAATCAAAATCGCAATCATCTTCAAAATCCCAATCACAACCGGCTTCACCTTTTGGGACTGTTAACTTAGGTGATTTTTAAATGAAAATGTTGTATTATGTGTATTT